GCCTTCGCCAACAAATTCAACTACGGTTGAACCAAGTCAGGCTATGCGCCTTCACAAACAAGTTCAACTACGGTTGAACCCTTCGCCAACAAATTCAACTACGGTTGAACCAAGTCAGGCTATGCGCCTTCACAAACAAGTTCAACTACGGTTGAACCGGGACTCAGGCTACGCGAAGTCGGTTGAACCGGGACTCAGGCTACGCGCCTTCGCCAACAAATTCAACTACGGTTGAACCAAGTCAGGCTATGCGCCTTCACAAACAAGTTCAACTACGGTTGAACCGGGACTCGGGCTACGCGCCTTCGCCAACAAATTCAACTACGGTTGAACCAAGTCAGGCTATGCGCCTTCACAAACAAGTTCAACTACGGTTGAACCGGGACTCAGGCTACGCGCCTTCGCCAACAAATTCAACTACGGTTGAACCAAGTCAGGCTATGCGCCTTCACAAACAAGTTCAACTACGGTTGAACCGGGACTCAGGCTACGCGCCTTCGCCAACAAATTCAACTACGGTTGAACCAAGTCAGGCTATGCGCCTTCACAAACAAGTTCAACTACGGTTGAACCAGGACTCAGGCTACGTGCCTCCGCCAACAAGTTCAACTACGGTTGAACCAAGTCAGGCTGTGCGCCTTCACAAAGAGTTCAATTACGGTTGAACCAAGACAGGCTACGCACTCTCGCCACTAAATTTAACAAAGTCCAACAACAGTCGAACTGGGACTCAGGCTATGTGCCTTCGTCATTAAATCCAACGAGCTCGACCTCGCTCGAACTACAAGGGTAGACGCCTTCACCCTCAACTTTAGCAAGTTCAACCACAGTTGAACCGAGACTCGGGCCAAACGCCTTCATCTGTGAAAGCAAAGCCCGACCTCCAACAAATCGAAGCGCAGGATAAACACCCTCACCATTCAGGTAAGTTCTCCCAACTCGTATTAAGATTCGTGCCACATAAAGTTCGGCCTCGGTCAAACTACGAGGCCGCATTTATTTTTACTATCACGACCGGTAGTTCGACCGCGTCCGAACTGGGACTAAGGCTAAGCGCCGCTATCGCCAAATAACAGCTAAGACTCGCCCGCACCAAGTTGAAAAAGCAAGGCCATCAACTATATTATGGCTAAGGCCATCGCCGCCAACGGTCGACCTAGGTTTGACTGCGGTGGGTAAACGATCTGACGATACTCGAAGTTGCCTTCATGGCTAAGGCCGTCGATTCTATCACGACTAAAGTCGTCGATCTAAATTCGACTAGGGCCGTCAACGCCGACGTTCAACATAAAGCTCAACAAAAACGCTAAAGAACGAAAGAAAAACAGTGACACAAAACAAGCACAAGGCAGGCAATAGAAAAGAAAATTTATATATTTACAAAGTCAAATTGCGGGTCATCCCCGCTTACACCCGGCCAAGGCCGATCAATACAAGAAATAAAAAAAAAAAACAAGAAACAACTAAACGCCAAGCGGCGAACAAGACAAGAAAAAATAAGTATCCTTGTTACTCGGTGCAGTCTGCGCCACCGTCTTCACCAGCGTCAGCCTCAGGCGTTGCCGCGTCAAAACTGCAGTCGGCACGGGCCTCACGAGCCTTCTGACGCGCCCCCTCGAAAGCAGCTTCGGTCACGACGCCAGCCTCCCACAGACTCTTATATACATCACGTTGGGCCTCGGCAAAGACCCAAAGTTCTCGAGCCTGGCTGGAAGAAGCGGCTTGATCCCGTAGCCGCTGATTCTCTTCTTCCAAGGCTGTGATTCGGTCCGCCATGACCTGGGCGTCCTGCTCAAAAACACCAATCCGCTCCTCGAGACTTGCTTTTCTAAAGGCCGCAGCATCCCTTTCCAACGTCCGTTGGGATTCGTGCACGCGGATAGCTTCCTTCAACGCCCCGACCCTCGACGAGGCATCCCTCACTTGAAGCTTCAATGCCGCGACTTCATCCTCCAACGCGGTCACTTTCCCGCTCCATGCCGCAGTGACCTCCGCCGCCTTCGCCTGGCCCCGGAGCTCGCACTCAGTTGCAGCCCTCTTTACCGCCTCGAGCTCCTCATCCTTTCGGCGGAGCTGCTCCTCGAGAGCACTCGTCCTATCAAGTGCTTGCTGCATCTGAACCTCCCGTCTCGCCAGCTCTTCGACCAAGGCCCGGCTACGAGGATCATTCCTCAAGCGCCCCCGCAACTCTCGGCACTGATCTCGGTAGCGGCGATACTTCTCCAGCGCCCGCAAAAATATCCCCGAGCGGACCTGGGCTCGACGGATGCTCTCCACCTCCAACAGATAAGACTGCAAAGCAAAGACAACGATCAGAATAAAAGAATAAACCTAAGGCAAAGAAGAAGCGAACCGACGTAACAGTACATACCATGCCATCCTATGATAAACATGAGAACATTAAAATCCTTTTCGAGCTACAAGAAACTACGTACTCAACTAGCCAAGAACTTTCTATTTGATCCCATCTAGATGAAAATCAATATACATCACTTGCTCCTCATGCCAGTAGAAAATATACATCCCTAACCGTGGTAGAAACCATCAAGAACTCTCTGAATCCCATTTGCACGAAACCAGACCGTTAAGACTGGATCCTTTTAACTCAANGTCTTCTCTTCTCTAATTCATTCGTTCAGTTGGTTTGTGCTATGCTCTCACTCCCTCCTCTCTCTCTCTCTCTCTCTCTCTCTCTCTCTCTCTCTCTCTCTCTCTCTCTCAGCCTGTATGCTAATCTTCATCATGGTACCTTTTATTTTCTTTTTGATGAAGTAATTTGTTTCATTATTGGCATCAAGAAGATGCAATAAGTACAAAATAAGATGCAAAATTCATGCTTACAAGTTATGGAGAAGATGGTCACAAGAATATATGTAACATATTTGTCGAAAAGGAAAAGCATAAGAATGCTATATATTGCAGAAGTCCTGTTCCATCTCTACTGAGTTCCTGTATTATCAATTCTAGCTTTCAGGCACAACTAGGACCAATGTTTCTTAAACTATTGGAAAGAATATTTTTCTCTCCTTTCTAGCTACTACTTGTTGAATATAGTAGATGTTAATGTGCTTCCCGATAAAATTGACCTTAGCGAGGGGGGGGGGGGGGGGTACAGAAGTGTTTCCCGATAAAATTGTTTTCTTTCACTGAATATGCTGCATATTAGACTTGGTCTTTACCTTACAGTTGATTTAATCTTTTATCTTCCTTGGCTTTATTGTCTTTTTTTTTTCTTTTCTTTTCAACTTAATTTCTTTTTTCAACTTAATTTTTTTTTTCAACTTATCCCAAAAATAACTATAAAAGGATGCTTCTTTACCATATTTTGATGATGTAGGCATTTTTACTATTTGCAACTCCTTTCAAAAGGTTCTGCTCAAGTGTAAGATGCAGTCTGGACTTTCTTTCAAGCGGAAAAAAGTCTTGGGAAGCTTGTTGGTTGAATTTTCAGAATATGTTGTTCAGAAACACCTTGCTGATGATTTGATTGCAAACTATTTTACTTGGTTCTTAATATAAACTGTTCCTACCTATGCTAATGATATCATTACCTATACTAATATATTAAGTGTGCTTATTTGGATTCCAGGAACCCAGCTAGTTTTCTCCATGCTTACACATGTCTTCCTCTTGCTTATGCGACAAGGCAAGCTGCTGGTGCCATCTTGCAAGATGTAGCTGACTCTGGGGTCTTGTTTGCCATATTAATGTGTAAACACAAGGTCTTGTTTCTATTTCTTATTCTTCTTTCAAATTGCACATTTCGGAGGCACATAGGTCTCAGTTTACTGTATTGTGTAAAACATCCTGTTTAAAGTTGATTTGCAGGTTATCAGTCTTGTTGGTGCACAGAAAGCATCACTTCACCCTGATGATATGCTATTGCTCTCCAACTTTGTTATGTCTTCTGAATCATTTAGGCAAGTTCTACTAACTTTTGATTCTTGCTTGGGCTATTTCCTTGTGTACCTGGTGGAAATGTTTGGAGATGATTCATAAATTCATGTTACACGTGCATATGCAAGTTCTACTGAATTTGCTGACCTTTCTGAATGAATGATTGGGCAAGGTTGCTCAATGTGGTCAGTTATCGAGGCAGGTTTGGCTTTGGGGATACAGATGTTACTGTGAATGGCCATGCTAATTTTAGTATTTGTCCTTGCATTCTTGGGAGGATCCTGCCGTAGCGTTTTACCATTATGAAATTTACCATTATTAAAATGATTCTGTTTTTTCATGTAATTAGGTCACTTATGCTAATTGTTACATATCATATTTTACTAGATCTCATTCACTTAGGTTTCCACGTGCTTTAGTCAAGTTGTTTCCGCAACAAAGGATCACCTTACTTTTTCTTGAGGCTCCAAAACATTTGATCTGGCAGTCGAATGATCTGGGGTTGGTGTGGGAATTTTCACTTTTTATTTTTGGCTTGAGAAGAATTTAAATGGGGATCATGGTCAGTGAGGGTTCATATAGCCGACCCAACTTGTTTGGGACTGAGGCGCAATAGTAGTTGTTGTTATGTGTACGAGTACCCATTAATTTGGTCTAATGACTCTGTACCTATAGATTCTCTCTTGGACATTTGTCTCGTGTCCAGAGGCAGCTTGTAGCTTTGGCTTGGCTAGGATTTGTTTATCATCATGACAGTGCATTCAAATTCGTTTCTTCTATCTGTGTAGTTGATGTTCCTACTTCCTAATGCTTGCTCCTCATTCTTGCTTTGATTGTCTTTGACTTTTTTGTGCGCCCTTATTGACTGTGGACTATTGGTCACATGTTACGTAACAATATAATGTATATTGATGACTGAGTGATTATATATTTTAACTGAGCTATGCCTGGTGAAAAGGACCCTCTACCTCCAATCTTGATTGGGGTTCCGACCACCAAGAAAGAAAACTGGGAAAGGACCATTGACGACTTTTGGGCAGAGAGAATGTGGGGGTGGGGTTTCTTCCACAGAAAAAATTAAAATAAAGAAATTAAGAGCATATGTTACGGCCCACTTAAGGTCTGTATTCCATTTATACTATCTAATTTCCTGGAGGCTATACGATAACATACTCATTAATGTCATGCAGGACATCAGAATCCTTCTCACCGATTTGCTTACCAAGATACAACCCCATGGCATTTCTACATGCTTATGTGCAGTACCTCGATGTAAGTTGGGCAGGTGTAGAATTATTCTTTAATAGTTCCCTCCTCCCAAAATGTTGTTAACTTTCCTTCAAAGGGATTAATTTATTACTTTTTGAATATGTACTACAGACATCAGATACATATTTAGAAAATTCAAATTTGTCAAAAGATTTTATTTACTTTAATATTTGGCTGCTTTTCTTAAACAACTGTAAATCTCAACTCTCTTATTCCGTGCAATGCAAAGTAAGACCGCCAGCTTAGTATAGAGGAAGTATCTATTGATGAAAGATTTTAAGTTGAATCTCTTTTTGAATGGTAGTAGTTGGCCGCCTTACAAGAATTATAGGATTTTGGTGTTTCCAAAGTTTTCCATTTATGCTATTGTTATTCATAGCAAATTACCCAAATTCGGTGCTGTATATTACAGGTTGACACATAAGTTTTCCATTTATGCTATTGTTATTCATAGCAAATTACCCAAATTCGGTGCTGTATATTACAGGTTGACACATATTTAATATTGCTTACTACAAGTTCAGATGCCTTTTATCATCTTAAAGATTGCAGGTAAATAATGCCTTTTCTCTTCTTATTTTTCAAGTAAATTTGGTTCTAGTACTCAAAGCTGAGAATTTTGCTTTTGTTTCCATTAGATCTGAACCATGGGAAATATTAGCCACTGCAATTTCCAGTGTATGTCTATTCTTAAATTCTGTCAAGAGGCATTAGCTTGTTATAATCTATCTTGTAGGGTTCGTATTGAAGAGGTACTTCTGGAGTCCAATGTACTTGGTGAAGCTCAAAGATCCATGGTTGATGGTGGCATGCGCGTTGAGGATTTACCTACTGATCATGGTTCTCAGGCCGGAGCAGTCTCCCCTCATCTGGGTCAGCCTGGACATAATAGAGAGTCATCAGACAGATTTTCTGAAGCATTCATAGGTGTTGGTGGTCCTGCTGGACTTTGGCATTTTATGTATCGAAGTATTTATCTTGACCAGTATGTCTCATCCGAGTTTTCCTCGCCAGTAAATAATAGACAACAGCAGAAAAGGTATTACTGCAAAATCAATGCTGTCATAACAAACAATACTTTTGTCTTTTTTTCTTTTCTTTTAACTGTGAGATGAGATCTTCTATTGCAGGTTGTATAGAGCTTACCAGAAGCTTTATGCATCCATGCATGATAAAGGAGTTGGACCTCACAAAACTCAGTTCAGAAGGGATGAAAATTATGGTACGTTCTTGGGTGTTATTTATATGCAAAGCTCTTCAAGCGCTAAAACCTTTCTATTTATAGATTTAGTCGATGGAGGTCCAAGTTGCATGGATAATCCGATCTACATATTGTGAATTTATTTTTCTTTCAAACTTAAAATAAGTCAACAGAACCTATCTATGACTCTTTCTGCTTTCATAGTACCATAGAGCAGGTTAATTTTTTATCTAAGCTTTGAGGTTGGGATGGAGAAGTTCTCCTTGGGTAGACACTGAGAGTTGTTGGGTAACAGATTTTAAAAAAGAAGGAAAAAGAAAACGGATGCATTCTCCTATTCATTTTTATTGTTCTTCATGGTTGCTGTTATTCTTGTTATTCATGAGCAAGAAGAAAAAATCTAGTGAGTTGTAATTGCCAAAAATGTGTGATCCCTTGCAAGTTTGCAGGCAATGATTTCAAGTGGATTTTTTTAGTTAAGGATATACGTAGTAGTGAATTGGTACCAAGCCTCTTTGCTTTCCAGTATTGACCTTTAATTCTTTCTTTCTTTTTTTAAGTAGTTACTGAATTCTGGCAGGGGAAATTAGAAACGTAGAACAGAACAACTCTCAAAATTTTCTCCCATGATAATAGTTTAGTTCCTCTTGAATTGACTTCCTTACCTTATCTTGCAGTTCTGCTGTGCTGGGTTACTCAGGATTTCGAACTTTATGCAGCATTTGATCCCCTGGCAGACAAGGTTTTATTAATTACTTTTTCTTCTAACCTGTTGTTTGTCCAAGTGATATCTTGAATGTCACTTTTATTTATAGTCTTTCCACCAATCATTTTAATGGTGTTATATGAGCTTGAGACGACTCCATTTTATCTTTGGTGGAGGAATTCATGGGCCAGTTTAGGTATTGAAACTGTGCCGATTCAAACATGCAGGAGATTTACCAGACCTTAGTTCACTTTTGTTCTGTACTGTGGTAAGCTGGTTACCACTTACAGCGCCACATGAGATTTGTGCATGGCCCCCTACAGTTTGTTACCATATACAACAGGAAGATAACAAGTTTAATTCAATATACCACAAGGTCTTTAGCCCTAATGATTAAAATCAAAATGTCACTTTGACATGATTATTTGCTGAATTGAAGAATCTACCCCAATGTGTACCTTAACTCCGAGGTGATCTTATCCTGCCAACCCTAGATATATGTTGACTTACTTCTTAGGCATCATTGTCAAAGAGCTATTATTAGAGATGTTATGTAGTAACTGGCATCTGTCTTATCTACAGTTTTTTGTGTACTGAAATGCTGATAAATACGTCAAAGCTGATTTTGTCTTTCCAGATTTCAATGTGTCTTGTTAGTTTAAGCTTCGCCAATGTGCTTGACATCTAGGGTTGTTCAACCATAAGTGACCCTATCAATTTCTTGTGCCAATTCTTTTGAAATGTAAGAACTGTTCTCTTTACATGTGTTCTTTCTGCTTCTTGACGTTTGGTAAGATTCCACCTTGCAGGCTCTAGCTATAAAAACTTGCAATCGAGTGTGTCAATGGATCAAGAACATAGAAAATGAGATTTTCTTGTTAGGAGCGAGTCCTTTCTCATGGTGATGTTCCCCATGTTCGCTTTTTTACGTGTATTCTATTTTTTTTTTTTTTTTGAACTTTTCTTTTCTCAAATTCCTTTAATAAGTAGGCCTTCCATTTTTGTGGTTCTATATTTATATCTTGGTAATGAATGCCAATTGTAGTTTAAAGTTTGGCAGTCAAGATTCGAGTTTTCTCACTCCAGGCAACATTTCATTTTAGCTTGTACGATTTATGAATTTTTGTAGCACTATCTGTATCATCAATTCGTTGTAATTCTACATAATCATCTGATGGATTGCTAAAGACAATTTCCCTCGCTGCATTTGCAGTGAGATTATCTTGTGTTCTTTTATTTTTTTTATTTTTTTTACATATGGAGAAAAGATTACAAGGTGGAATATCGAACCTCACCAATAAGTTGCAAGTGCAGGAAGCCAACCAACTAGGCTACCAAGTTTCCTAGATCATCTTTGTTAATACCCTTGGTATGCAACGTCTTAAAATAGAAGAATTTGGTGAATTTGGAATGTGAATATTGGGACTAAAGCGCAACGGAATAGGGTTGCAACCATTTATTCCTTCATTTCCTTCTCTATTTTTCCGCCCGAGGGGAAGGGCCTTTAGTTTGGAACTTGACATCAACTCATAAACTTCAATAAAATATCCAATGATTTGGAAATAATTGGATATTCAGTGTAGAATTATCTTGTTCCCTATGCAAGATAAGTTGCACAACATATTGTATTACACAAAACCTCTGAGATTGGCTATTTTATTTTTCCTATTGTGTCGAGTATAGAGCGAACCATGCCGCAGCCTCGCAACTATTCTTGTTCTGCAGCTAGGATTCGCGCTGTCATCTGTGTCAAATGCAAATAAAGCTAATGTGAGGACTCCACAGAAATGTAAGGAGCTAAACGATGAAAGTGCAATTCATTTATAAAGACCTAGTAGATCTACACTTCCATCCTACCAATCTTGTCTCAGCCTCATAAAACACAGTAAAAGAAAGGTCTATTGATTAAAACGATGACAAAAAATTGAATCTAGTTATCGGGTATTTCTCTCCCACTTTATATACATACAGCACGAACTTTCGTATGTGCAATGTATACAAAGATATCAAGGTCAACCTTAAAGATGGCTCCCTCTACTGTTCACAAATGTTAATAAAGATATGATAATGTAAATAAAAATAATAATCTTTTGGCTGAAAAAGATAAAGAAGAAAAATCAGAAATTGACGATGAACATACACAGAACAACTCCGTATTAACAGTTATGACGACTTGAACCAAGTAGGCAGAAACTTCATACAGCAACTGCTTCAGGCCTTTTGCTTGTCTTGATTCCTTTAATAGCTGCAACATGTTTACATAACATGTGAGATCTAAGTTTATTAAGTTATAATCAAGTTCAGGGTCTCTCAGTAAGGCAAAATAAAGAGTCGTTATATCCTTGCCTTCAGCATAATCAGGAGCTCCAAAGACGGCAGAACCAGCTACCAAAGCATTGGCTCCAGCTTCAATGACCTGCAACGAAAAATGATTATTAAATTGTATTCTCATATGTCAGTTGCTGCAGGTTGTTTATGGTCAAGGTATGGATCAAGGGTTGGTTGCTTTGATGCACATGTTCTCTTTGTCATCATCACATACAATTCTCTATAATTTGAGAAGTAGGTTACTCTTCTTTACAATATAAACATGTTTGCCAAAATAAATGGCAAGATATGGAGAAAGATAAGGCTGTGCTCCATGAAATCTGATAAAATATCAGAACAATTTAGAAAAGATTCGAATTCACAAGGTACAAATCAAGTAGTAACATTTGCACACCACTTGAAATGCTGCAGGTAAGATTTATCCAGTCTTCACATGACTTATTCCAATATATAAGATGAAAATAAATTTTTTAAGATTTAATGAGGGTCAAGTGACAAGCTAGTTGGGAGAGGAGTTATAATCATGGGAAAGCATCAATCACCTTGTAAGCATTTTTGGGACCAACACCACCGTCAACTTCAATCCAAGGGTTTAGTCCCTGCAAAGTTAACATAGGCATGTCATTGCATTGCATAGTTTGCACTTTGCATAGACTGAAAAAAGGGTAAAAGAATTACCCTCTCTGCGCAGATTTTTCTCAAGTCTGAGATTTTCTTGACCTGACTTTCAATGAAGCTCTGTCCCCCAAATCCAGGGTTTACAGACATTATCAGCACCAGATCAACAGCTGTAGCACAAATAAAAATAAAAGACATAAGCAATTTATCACTTTGGATCCAATGTTTAATGCCTTACCTGACCTAGCCTTCTAGAGGCAGCATACAGGTTATAGACTGGAAGATCATTGGTACAACACCCCCACCGCCACCCCGCCCAAAAGGCCAGGAGCCAGAACTGACATATGGAGCATCGACAACATAAAACAGGAGCCCAACATTGGGCAAACCAAGAATAAAGATCGGTTCTATAATAGCATATTAAGAATAATATACCTTGAGCCTAACTTAATACCAAAAGCTAGCTCATGAGGGAGGATTTCGAAAGACCAAATGAAGGGACAGCAACACACACTCTCAACTAATGCGGGACTCTAACACCTTGCTTTTCGAATCAGCATCTCTAAGCTCAGGTTTCCCTGTTGCACGCTTCAAAGGCACACTTTCCAAGTTTTCGCTTCATTCACCAATCTTATTGCAACATTGTACAGTATATTCAGCATAGGTAAGCCTAATGCTTTAACTAGCAGGATCTAAGGTGCATTTACATGCTTTTCTACCATACAAAGCCAACTTTGAAAGATACCCTATCTATCTTACCTATTTAGAGGAGTACATTTCCAAAGATTCCCATTTTCACTATTGACTCTCACATAACCAGTATTAAAAAAGAAAGTTGAAGCACAAAAATAATAGGAAATATACTAAGAGTAGTCATCTCTGAAAAATTGTCTTAAGAAGCAATATCTTACCATCAAGAACATATTCAATTGCGGTTAAAGGGGTTCCAGGATTGAGGACAACCCCAGCTTTAGCTCCCAAACTTTTAATCTGAACCAGAAACAATTATGAAGGTGGTCAAGAAAAACTTAAATAATGTGAATAATGGATAAGACAGAGGAAAAACACAAGAAGCTAACCATGAAGTTAGAACTATCTTTGGGTAACAAAATCATAATATTCTAAAATATCACCAGCTGAATTCCTATATCACATATATGGCTCCCACAATTACAAATTACAGTACGCCATTTTCAATATCATGAAACACCTAACTATAATCCTATACATTTTTTCTAGAAGGGATAGTTCATTTTAAATAGAAAAAGTAGATCTAATGTAGAAGGTAATCAGAAAAAGTAAAGAATGGAACTCTAAATAAATAAGTATTCGATATAAGAAAAACTAGCACTCTACATTTTCTTTTTCTAATCCCTATGATGTGAGTTTGGATGCGTTGTGTCATGAAAAATTGTTCAAGAGAGACATTATCTACAAGAAAAGTAATAAATATCACGAATAATTAGTCAGTTACTCCAGCAAGTTATTTTTAACTTATATCCTAAAAGAAAAGCATGCAATAAAGGTAAATGAAAAACACCAGCACTTAGACTTCTGATAAAAGACACCAAGAATCATGGATTGATCTCACAATCGAAAATTTATACTAAGTGAAAACTTTAGACTGGTGGTCATTCTGTTACATCTGCACTTATGTATCACATTCCTAACAATCTTAACTTAAGAGAAGAGGTTTGCAATCTAATTCCTATGATGAGATAGTCACTATTGACAAAAAGGAAACTAGTATTTTGACAAAAACAAGCATGCCTTTGAGCATTCATAGGTCTGAAGGATAACAGAACCAAGAGTAAATTGTTTTAGATAATTGATGCCAAAATTTCAGAAGATTGACAACGACACTGAACAAGTCCCACGTACAAAACTTTTACTAAGAGTAAGGCAGTTGGTAGGCCTAATCCCACCCAAGGAAAGCTTTAGCAAATTTGTAGGTTGCTCCTACCGAAAAATGCAGAAAATTTCATAGAAACAACAATGCAATTCTTTATTTAAGAGATCACTTTTAGCAGTTATCTTGAGGCTCACACAACTAGCTGCAGCAGCCAAAGAAAAGCCATGCATCAATACCACTAAGATAGCTTAATCTGAATTTCATACTGTGCACTTATACCTTCATAATATTTGTATATGAGAACAGCTAAAAGCCCTTTACTGTTTGTATTTGATCCAAAAATATATTTTTCATGCGCTAACCTATTATGTAATCCAAAAAAGTCGGGATGAAGAGGAATTCCTCTGGTTGCAGTACACCAACACTTTTGAAAACATTGTTGACAAGATTTTTTTTAAGACTCCTTGTATATATTGTAAGTACAGGAACAACAGAAAGAAAGCAAGAAAGAGAAATTCTTACCTGATTTATTGTACGATGCAAGTGGATGGTAGAAGATTGCTCACAGTGAACACTGATGATATCAGCACCTGCTTTTATGAAATCAGGTACTCTCTGGTCAGGTTCGACAATCATCTGCAATGGTCCGTTGAAATTGAACATTAGCAAAAGCGTTCTCATGCCTATAGACCTGAAAATAGTTTTACCACATGAAAAATGGAAAATACCAGATGCACATCCAATGGAAGATCAGTGATAGGGCGCAAGGAATCAACTACAAGGGGTCCAATAGTTATATTTGGAACAAATCGACCATCCATCACATCTACATGAATCCAGTCGCAGCCTGCCTGCTCAACTGCTTTTACCTAAATGCATGAAAGACACATTAACCAACTTAAGAGCCATTTTTACGAGAAATCACAAAAAAAGAAGATGAAATTCATAAAAGAACTTGACCTAAAAGTAGGAAGGCAAAATGTGTTTACTCAACATATCAAACTTTTAATGTAATAGCAAATTTCCTCATATCTTGTTTTCAAACAAAACTAGACCTTTATAAGTTCGATATAAAAATGATAGAGCAAGGGATTCATATGACAACAAACCTGCTCTCCTAATTTAGAAAAGTTAGCAGAAAGGATGGATGGAGAAACAATAATATCGCTTTTCGAAAACTTATCCACCCGAGAAGAAGCCTTCACCACTGTTTGAACTCTCCTCCTGCATTTATAAACAAATATTAGGAGCAATAATATTTGGACAGATTGTGACGCTATTGTAAGGGGCATAGTTGCAGAAAGAGAAGGAAAAACTAGATGACTTCCTATAAAGTAAGAGAGGAACATCCAGTTGTTAGCAGGAAAAGAAAACAAATGGCTCGTCTCCAAAAAGAAAAAAGATGCATAAAGGCAGCTGGTATTGCAAGAAATTGGCTCATTTTTACCAATGCTTTAAAAGGCGTGGGCGACAGACGAGGCGTTTTATCTAACACGGGGCGAGACGAAAGCCAGGGCGTAAGCCCCATGAGTATTTAATTTTTAGAACTTTATAAATTAATAAAATAACTATATAAAAAATACATTAAAATTGTAAAAATCAAGAATATATATATATTTATTATAAAAACGCTAACATGTGCATGAACCATACAAAAGAATTTTTTTTACTTGAAAAAGAAAGACGTAAAGATGCATTAGAGTTTACACCTATAATTAACATGACTATGATCGAACATACTTAGGTTTATAAAAATGATATTCTAGTTCCTGATAATTCAAAGAATAAAAACGATGCTTAATAAAATAAAGATACTGTTTAAAAACCTAAAACTAGATAACAAATTACAAATATCATTGTAAAATACAAATAGTCAGAATAGAGTCATCAAATCAATATCTAAACTAGAGCGATACCAAAAAAAAAATTCTAAATCCGATAATTAACTTGAAAAGAAGAAATTAAAGAATGCAAAAAAAAAAAAAAACAGGAATAAGAAGAAAATGAAGCATAAAAAAGGAAATTGCAAGCATGTAAGTAGAGTAATAATTTGAGATTTTTAGTTTGATAAGTTACTACATTTTCGTATGCTTAAGTTTAAAAAAAGATTTATCGAGCAATTTTGGCGCAAATTTGAAAAAGCTCTCGGGGCTTACGCCCCAAACGACGCCCAGAACATTGAGACTTAAGCCTAAGCGAATGCTTGGAATATCAGGGCTTCCACCCCATGATACTTACGCCCCATTAGTATGCCTCGGTGCGTTTTTGGTATATCTCACCCCAGGGCTCGGCCCGGGGCTCGCCAACAAAACGCCTTTTAAAACACTTATTTTTACAACTACATAAGTAAATTTGCATCACCAACTGAGCATAATATCATCAGAGAGATAAAGAGCTAATGGAAACTGAAATCAATTCAAGTTAATTGGTGCTTGTTGAAAAACATACAAGTCACAGTGACTTGAGCAAGAATATTAGAATGCCAAAAGAACTTGACAATGCCAAGAAGCATTTCCAAATGGCTTTACATTATCACTCAATAGCCAATTGAAGAGGGTGGTCTGTTGATGCTGTTAGATTCTAAATTGCCGCCACAGGCAATGCTAAAGAGAGGCTGTTTCCGGTAGACTCTCGGCGGCTCAGGAAAGATAAAAGAAGGGCAACACAAGCACACCGATCAGAAACAATGCTAAAGAGAACATGAATTGCATATTATCCAGCTTATAATATTGACTCTTCAAGACCATTTGCTTACCATGCACAGAGGAAACAAATTTCAAATAGAAATGACATTGAAACACTTCCATCAGGCTTTATTAGAACCTTACTGGTTTAAGCTCAGCAAGGCATATTCACAAACATAAGAGAGACCTGGAATATCTTTATCGTCCTCTACATTACATATCTGAAACCCCAGAGCAAGAAAGCCTTTTTTTTCAGCCTTGAACGGAACTCTGGGCTTTACCAACTTTCATGAATCATTTCCTTTACTTCCAGACCAATAAAATTCCAAGGGCCCTGTATCCCTGATAAACACATTCAATTCCTTCTATGCCAATAAACTTGACCTTCTTTCCCTTTTCAGACCATCAGAAAATATTAACCACTTCCCTCTAACAATTCAAATAATCATAAGTTAGTACTGCCTAATACTATCTCAAACTTAACTGGATAATGTACCAGTTTTTTTTTAAAGAAACAAACAAACTTAATTTGATAATCTCCTCAAACATTTTACTCTAATGATTGCCAAGTCAAATTAGGTCTACTTTATCAGTAAGGATGAGAATATCACAACAGAACCAAAAGGAACACCCAAAACATCAAGGTGAAATTTTAATGTGGAATTGACTGATTCAAGACTTTCCGCAGCAGACTAGTAATCAAGTTTTCTTTCCAACATTAACTTTAAGTACAAAGATTACAAGCAAACGAATTGGGTAATAAAGAATATAAAGACTTAAAATTTATTTGAAAAAGAAGAAAAAACCTGGTGAAAGTGAGTGAATTGGGCTTCTGAAGCTTAACACTCCCGCCAAATCCATTAATTTGGGATTGTAACAGAGTTGATGAACCCACACAAGAAGCAGTTGTTGCCATTGAAATTTCCTTCTTTTTTTCTCTTGCAGCAAACTGAAATTTTGGGAATTGAGGAGGAGAAAGTTTGGTGCTTTGTCAATTTGAAAGCACAGGAGTTTAAATTTCAACTACCCTCTTTAGCTTTTGAGACTTCCAAGACAAGAAGAACCAAAAGACTGTTATTTTGGAGGAAAATCAAGAATGAAATATCAGGTTGACACGTGTCCGATTTGGTTTTCGCATAGCGGCTTTGCTTATCTTCAATGGTTGGCTCTTCTCTGTTGCTGACTCAATTTGTAGGGACTATAGGTACTGCCCCTCCTCCATTTATCGCATGATGGGCACAAGCGCAGAAAGAGAACTAGAGAAGATAATTCCCCCCCCC